GAAGGAATGGTTTCAACTTCACCACATGGAAATCTTGGTTTTATATACTAGTCAACAAAAGTAATGATACACAAGTTTGAACTCCAATTTATCATAAAATATAATAAATAGGAAAAACTGTTAATTTCGAAGATGAGAATTAAGTATTCAAATATCTGCAAAGGCATTCAAAATTTTAAGCAGACCATGTTTAAGATTAAAGTTTTAAGTTCTAATATCGATTTTTGAATTTTTGGGTGAAAATATCATTTTTGAAATAACAAAAATTGCAACAACAAACAATTCGCGTATTTGCCTTTTGTCGTAAAGTTTTGTTTTCAACCGACCCTCATTGTCAATTTCTAGATTTAGTCAAGATATAAGGCAGACTTAACTGTATCTGTTGTATCCTTTATCTCAAGTTCGATGGGATAGATGCGTTCAACGTAGTCACCAAATTCTAAATTATTTAGTGAGAGAACATTATCTATATAGCGGAAAGTGAAGTTAGATGATACTACTAACTTCTTTTCTTTCTTTCTAAGAAGTTCCTGTATGAAGTCAGCCTCATATGAATAAAGGAACATGTCGGCAAGAAGAGGAGCACAGTTGGTTCTCATAGGAATGCCAATTGTTTGTTGAAAAACACGACTTTCAAACGTAACAAATATGTAGTCAATCAAGAAATCAAGCATCTTGATAATGCAAGTTTCAGGTAATTTTTTGTCGGAGTGATTTTTTACAAAGTACGATTTATCATCACTCCCTAAGACAAGATATTTGTATCTACGTTGGCTATTCATTTTTATGAAACAAAGCAGGAACTCTTTCAATTTGTCTTTTAGTTTGGAATGGGGAATACTTGTGTAAAGTGTAGAAAAGTCAAGTGTTTTAATACTATTGCAAGATGAAAGAGCCTTAGATTGTATATACTCTAAAAGAACTTTGGATTTTTTTAGTATCCAGATCAAATTCACGCGACCTCCAGAATAGGTAGTTTCACAATAACTTTAAAGCCAGGCTTTGATTGCTGATAGAATTGATGTTAATAATTTAGAAAGAGGTTTCGTGGAGCACTTGGAAGAACCAGCAATATAACGTTGTTTGTAAGGACACTTATGTAGTATAGGTATCCAATACAGTGAAGGAAGATCCAGTTCTTCGTCTTTGGTTGAAATTCAAAAGAAACATAGACCAGACCTATGATTATCCAGGATTACGGAGATACTTTCCTTAATTTTAAATGATTAATTTCCTTAGTTTTATCACGGCATATGATAAATTTCCATGTCAGTACCGAAGTACTTAGCTTCTGGCCTGGTAATACCCTCGGGGACTAACAGTCGACCAGCAGAGGTATCGACCCTACAGATATAACGGCACCAATATTACTGTAAACCAACATTTCAACAAATAAGTATATGGTATCAATTTTACTGTAAACCAAATGCGTTTCTCAACAAATAATATCTATAAATCAACATATTAATGTAACCCCCCGCCCATAACTCATTCTTACTAAAGCAAACATTATCATCGAATGATGTTCTTTTTTAGTCATATTAATCTACGTTATACGTTACATGTGTATTAAAAGATAAAACGTATATGTTAGAGAGTGAAAGTTGTCTATCTTCCTACACACAAAAAGGGTAATAATTTGTTACTTGTTTTTCTGCTTTGTATCGATTTAATGAGTTAAGCCCTTTTCAACTGATTTTTATAGTTTGTTCATATATTGTGCTGTTTCACCAATGTCCCAGGTTAGGGGGAAGGTTGGGCGCCCACAAACTTGTTTATCCCCGATACATTCTGTATGTGCCTGTCGAAAGTCAGAAGCCTGTAGTTCAGTGGTTGTCGTGTGTTGCTGTATATCATATTTGTTTTTCGTTCATTGTTTTCTACATAAATCAGGCCGTTGGTTTACTCGTTTGAATTGTTTTACATATGTCATTTCAGTATCTTTTAAAGCGGCATCGGTTTTGTTCATTGTTGAAGGCTGTACGGTGACCTATAGTTGTTAACTTCTATGTCATGTGGTCGCTGGTGGAGAGTTGTCTCATAGGCAATCCTACCACATCTTCTTATTTTTATGTTACAGGATGATACCTTAGAATGTAAGATGATGGGAAATCGATGTGTTAAAGGACGAGAAATAGGTATGTTACAGGATGATAAATAGGTGTGTAACAGTATAATAACTTAACGTGCTACAGTATGATTACTTAGCATGTTACAGGCACATACATGCAGAATGCAGCGGGGTTAAACATGTTTTTGGTGCCATCTAACTAGTTAAACCCCGCAACATTCTGTATGTGTCTGTCCCAAGTCAGGAGCCTGTAATTCAGTGGTTGTCGTTTGCTGCTGTAAATCATATTTGTTTTTCGTTCATTATTTTGTACATAAATCAGGCCGTTAGTTTTCTCGTTTGAATTGTTTTGCATTCGTCATTTCGGGGCTTTTTAAAGCCGACTGAGGTATGGGTTTTACTCATTGTTGAAGGCCGTACGGTGACCTATAGTTGTTAATTTCTGTGCCATTTGGTCTCTTGTTGAGAGTTGTATCATTGGCAATCATACCACATCTCTTTTTTTTTATATTTCTGGCGCCACACCTTCCAAACCTGGGACGGTGGTAAAACAGCACAACATATAAACAAGTTTTAAAAAATATACCTCTTTCCCATCCTGTAACATACATATGTCCCATCCTGTAACATACAAATTTCCCATCCTGAAACATACATATTTCCCATCATGTAACATATCTATTTCCCGTCCTGTGACATATCTATTTCCCGTCCTGTAACATACCGATTTCTCGTCCTGTAACATACCGATTACCGATTTCCAATCCTGTAACACACTGATTTCCTATTGAGTACTATACCTATTTCCTAGACATAAAATACCAATTTCCAATCATATAACATACCAATTTCCTTTCCTGTAATATATTGTTTCCCATCCTATAACATACCAATTCCCCATCCAGTAACACACCAATTTATTATCCAATAATATATCAATTACCAATCTTGTAACATACCGATTTCACAACCTGTAATATGCTAATTTATCATCCTGTAACAGGCCTATTTTCCACCATGTAACATGCTAATGTAGTATCCAGTAACATACCGATTCCCAACATGTTACATAACAATGTCCCCTTCGATAACATACTAATCTCAAACCCTTTAACATACCGATATCGATACCAGTTTCCTCCTATAACATACCATTTTCCGATCCTGTAAGATACCGATTTTCTCCTATAACAAACCAAGTTTCGATCCTGTAACATAATTTACCATCCTGTAACAAACCTATTTCCAATTTTATAACATCATGACAAATTTTGCATCCTATATCATACCGATTATTTATCCTGTAAAATAGAGGCGAAAGATACCAAAGGGATACACAAAGTCGAACACAAACTGGCAATGCCATGGCAAGAAAAAAAAAAACGATCAGAAGACAAATAACAGTATACAAAACACAACATAGAAAATTAAACACTGAGCAATACGAACGCCACCAAACACCGGGGTGATCGCAGGTGCTCCGGAAGGGTAAGCAGATCCTGCTACACATATGACCGCCGTCGTGATGCTCGTGTTCTGAAAAAAATGCGGTGATAAGTCTTATTCGGTAGGTCTAATTCGAAGAGAAGAGAACGTGATTGTGGTAACGACAATTGCAGCATATCAATTGCCCATCCTGTAATGTACCGATTTCCCATCATATAACAAACCGAATCCTTGATCTTGAATTCGAAAAAAAAATATGTGTTCCTATAAAAAACATGTCTCCATTACAAAAGATGTAAGGTCGGTGCCTTAAAATTACCATTTGATTATTCGTTACCAGAGTGTTATTTAAGGGACATGTGCAGTTATTTCAGCTATTGAAATTTGTATGCATCGTACATAGATACACTACAATGTTCAGAAGTTGACAGGTACATGTTACCTGAAAGGTTATTGCGTACTTATTCTACACCTATCATATGTACATGTTTCTGATCTGTAGCTGTGTGTCAAACGAAAGTAATAATTTACTCTTCATTATAAAAAATAATAATTTGTTCTGTACATTTTAAACCTTTTTGTATTGCCTCTAGGTGTAAATAGGAATCATCTTAACGACTATTTTATTAATTTCTTTCTTCTTTGATTAAGGTCACATCGATAGAATTTTCTCTCTGGCAAATCAAACTAAATAGACACTAGACCTGCTCAGTTTCATCCCTTAAATAGCATTCTGCAATACAACTCTCTTCTTGGGTTGAAAATTCGTGTTAATAAAACGAGCTGTGCTTTTATTATTGAGATCAAACAATTTTGTTTATTTAATTTCAGATAAACACGCGAGGAGATTATTTTTGAAGATATTTCGTATGTAATATTATTTCATTGAAATATGTACCTGAATGAATACCTGAGCCCGTTATAGTTTGTTAAAATGGGCTTTAAATACTCTTCTAATGAATTACCTGTATCTGTTATATCGTGAATAACATTAAACACGAATCGTATTTTATGACTGCATTTGAGTGGTGTCATCTTTTTTTATTTATTTACACATCTATTTCTATTGGGGATAAGCCGTGCAGAATGAACAAATTGTTATTTATATTGTTTCATCTGAAGTCTGTCTAATACTTATAAGCAATAAAACGATTTGTTGAATAGATCGAAGGAATTCCCAAATAAATTGTATATATTTGCCCGCGTGCTATTTGGAATGCTTTGAATTCCACACTTTACTTATATATTTATTACATCTCAACAACCGAGTATTTCATGAATGAATTTACGTCACACAAGTGTCAACCAACCAAAAAGAATCCTGTAACACGCTCCATTGGAGGAATGTTTTACCTGATGTACAAGTAAACATAAGCACGTGTAAATGAATTAAATGTCTTACCGGTAGGCGTGACAAGACTGCCTTCTATCAAGGAATGACACCTATCAGCGAATTTGTCAACTCCTTGGTACAGATTTGCTATATTACAGTCAAGTCCACGATGGTGTAAAGACAGTACTACCTTTGTTCTAATTATATTACGATGAACAGTCTATATAAACTCTGGATGAAATTCGTGATACAAAGTCAAAGTGACGACACCACATCAATTGGCGACCCTGCTTCGCGATATGAGCCTTGCTGATTGTACCTTAGCTCTGGTTGTCAGTGTTCTCCTCTATAGCAGTGTGATCTTAGCAAAGCCAACTCGCAGTGTGTCCGACCCGAAAGTTGAAGTGTTCAAACAAAAACTATTGACTTCACTTGGATATAAGGAAGCTCCTGTAGTACGAAATATAAATAGCAGCATACACGAACAGCGAGCAATGATTAGGAAATATAAAGAACATATAAAAGGAAGAATGAATATAGAGGAAGAACGTTACCCAGAAACTGCCAATGTTTATAAACCAAAAGGTAAAGTCTTAATATTAGCTTCGCTTACGTCTTTATACAGAACTGTAGAACCATAAATCAAGTTTGGAACAACTGTTATTGAAGACTTATATTAGATGATCTTAGAATATACTGGTATGCTGTTGTATACACGTTAAGACGTCCAATTATATACTTATACATTTGTTTATGTTATCCAATCAATTATGAAATTTATATGAAATAATTGATGCAATCATATTTTGATTAGTTATACAATTATTTATACTAGCAACTTGTAACTCAAATCAAATTCTGGCTGTATCTTAAACCATCAGAGTGCATTCTATGCTCATCATGGATTGTCTTGTATTGTTGGTTTGCTGTCTAATTTCGGTTTACCCCCATATCTCATTTTATGGGTATAACTTTGATGTACTAGATTTGTTTGATAGAAATATTTTTACGTTACGACAAGTCTGTGAAATGCTGCAGTATTTTAATAAGTCAAATATGCAAATAAAAAACGTGTTGGGATATTAAATATCTGTTTTTCGTGCTTTATTGCAATGCAAATCTAGATGAAACACCTTTCATAATAGTTGTATTCAACAGCGATCACTGCAGAAAGGCAAACTTTAATCGTCACACAAAGTCTGCAGCAGATTCAAATTAAATGTCAACGCTTATGCCGTATTATCATAACCAAAACTGAACACGAGAACATATTTCAAATGTTAATAAGAATTCTTTAACATGAAAATATGAAATTAAAACTTTAACTCTTTTATATTTTACGGTCAAATGATTCTTAATAAACGCGAAAAGGTTTGTGTATTTTACATGTAATGGGATAATAACACGAGAGTAATAATCAGAAGATGTACGCAAGATCTTATTTACAATACTAAGGTCTCAAAACATGTCAGCTTTCGGTTCAAAGAAACCATAAGCAAACTGATTATTTTCTTATTAAAAAGTAAATGACAGTCAATTCAATTCATTTTACTCATTTTTGGCAAAGATCGTAATTCATTACAGAAATCTTGGTGTAATGGTATTGAACATTTCAGATTAGCCCACGATGTTCCTTTTGTTGGGTCGCACTCGATTGTTCGTTTTCTGTACTGCGATGTTATGTTAAAATACAATGTACACTTTTGTCGCTTATTTGATTCATTACAATTTCAAAGATTGGAAAATTAAAAACGTAAATATTGAAATTTAAATTGTATATATGAATAGGTACGCAAGTGGTTTTATAAACAAAATCGAATAAGACAGACTGAAAAAGACAAACTCTGACAATGAATGGAACTACATACGAATCATGACTTTCAATATCATTTAGCATTAAACGAACCGAAACAAGCATATATTCTATTCAAACATACTTATTATATCGTTTAATTTCAACAAAATTGTCTATAGAATAATTTCTTAACAGGGCTAAGGTTAAACGTCTAAATTGGTCAGTTTTCTATAATGCACATAGAAGGATTCAATGGAAATATTTGTAAATGATTAAAAAGACCGAATATTAAAACTTAGAAGTTAGAGAATATTGAAGATAGAGCATGTATGCCAATTGTTAACAGTTTCAAAGTTTGTCCATTAAATTATTTTTAAATTAGAAATTATATTCTTAAGTACTTGTATATTCGAAGGTTGACTTAGAGGAATAATAATAATAAATCAAAAGGTATGCCTTCTACAAAGGAAATTCGATAATATAGCACATTATATCCTTTAACATCCATAATCAAATTGCATTCTGCATTTTATCAAAATTATTACAAATAGTACTAATTAAAAAAAAGTGATTATTACCGTAAAGCTATTTCACAGAATTTTTAAATTGAAGAGAGCTATCTGTTAAAGATATTAATTTCTTCATGTCGAACTACTTTTTAATCGCCTTTAATTAAATACATTGACACTTAATTTAAAATGAACGCATCATTGTTTAAAGGGTTAATGGGGATGCTTAAAAGGTTATTCAATACATATACAAAACTGATTACAGGTAATCGTTGACGTAGAGAAGTATATATTTTATTCTTATTGATGCTATTTTCACTTTGACGTTCCAGCGCCATTTTGAACTTAATTGGCAATAAATTTACAATATTGAAGTTCTTATGAAGGGAATGTCTATAAAAAAAAATCCCTGAATATACCTTCTTTTTATTTCTTACCAAAATAACTGTAATTATACATTGTTTTGTTCTTTTTTGCAGATTCCTTTGAAATCCAACCAGATTACGAGCAATCAACAGCCGCAAATCTATTTCTGAGCTATGACATCCAAGAAAAACAACCAGAAGATCCACACATGGAGACCATCATTTCTCGTGCACATGTTAAAATTGATTTAAAAGAATCGAACAATTTAACTGCACAAATTAAAGTTCATTCAGACAATGCGGATGAATTTTCTAATTTGTTAACCAATGAATTTGTGTTCTCAAATATTCCAACGAATGCCAATGTAGTGTATTTAGATATCACAAGTCTTTTAAGAACTTGGCTCGAAAGCCCAACAGAAAAGTTTGGAATCACTATTTCTTTCACCGCAAACATTTCACAAGTTCTGAAAATAAATTCTAAGAAATCATCTGGAAAAGCATTCAGACTTGATTTTGAAAACGGAATGGAACCAGTATTAGAAGTATTTAGCTATCGAAAGATGATTTTAGGACGTGAAAAAAGACAAGCTAGTACTGCTACTAGCAGACGAGATTGTGTGAAAGGTGATGGCGAGAACAGATGTTGTCGTTTTAGAACACACATATCATTTGCTGACATTGGTTGGGATAATTGGATAATACGACCAAGTGGTTATGAAGCTTATTACTGTGATGGCGAATGTCCACATCGATTTAAAATGGCAAATACCTTCGCAGGAATTAAATCATTGCTACACATGAAAAATCCATCGACATTTTCACCTCCATGTTGTGTTCCGAGTAAACTTAGCCCTTTTACAATACTACATAAAGAAGAGAGCGGGAAGTATGCCTTTATGGATTTAGACGATATGGTTGTAGAGGATTGTAAATGTGCTTGACTCAGGAAAAGACTGTTGTCTGTGATAGGGACCATATATATTTATTTATGTGTCGTTTGTTGAAATACTTGGGTAATACATGATTCCATTTACCATATTTTTTTTTACAATTCCAATTTTATTGCTTTATTTAATGTTTTGTGTGTTTGTATTGTATGTATTGTATGAAAGTTACCATTTGTTTTATTTCCATGACAACAGGTTACCCCTTAAAGGAACAAATGTCTCTTTGAAGGGAAAGATATATTATTATTCGAACGTGCCAAAACTTAGGTCTTTCTGCTCCTTATTGTGTTTTAAAGCACATTTACTAGTCTGTGAATACTTATGAATAAAGTCTTTTTAGTTTAAACTAAAGAACAAAAACAAGTCTTACTGGACTACCGTGCAGTTTTGTTAAATAATATTCTCACTGTTAATTTTCCTGGCATTTAATTGAAAATATCTTATAGCTCATCTGAAATTGTCCTTAACCGTATTTAAATAGAGTCGCTAGATTCCACACTAGAATTCCAATGGCGAAAGCAGCAGGTGTCACATTGGAAACTTTAGTCTCAGTCAATACGAAGTTTATGTTTCACAATGCTGATAAAAACGTTGTGTTGACTTGCAAGAGTTACTTGCTCGAGAGTTATTTAACCGCTTAAATACATGATAATATGTCTTCATAAGAAAATAAGTAATTTTAGAAAAAGTCTTTTTTCGCCCTTGAAATAAAACGGAGAAATCATTTTAAAAGAAAACGCCAACACATGCACAATTACTTAACATTTGTATAATGTATATGCATAAACATAGACATTGAAAATGATAGTAAACGGTAGCTTTTTAAAGGGATGGGGGACTTACAAATTTCGAATAATGAAACACGTATGATTTCATTTTACTAGAACGAGAAATAGTATTTATTTTGATAACTGTGAGAGTGTACAAATGTTGATGACTTGTAGAAAATCCGTATGACGTGCCATGCTGAATAGTAGGCAGAAAGCTATGAAATCCTGGTGCTTATATGTTTCTGAACTTTTCCATGTGATATTTTGTGTTCTCTTGTCAAACAAGGCATTTACTATGAAAATTGAATCACAGTCATGTTATGTTGTTATATATTATTTATTCACAATGATTTTAGCGGCCAAATTGGTGCAAAATGTTGAAATATAAAATATAATGCTGATAAATGTTTGTTTATTTATTAAATATTTCTGACCTTGAGCATTACTCAAGATACATCAATTGTCGAAATGCGTATCTGATGCAGTAAAATTGATACCGTTAATGCTAAAATCCTTCCACCACTTTTAAATACGCACTGCAGCGGGTATCTTTGAATCGCATACATGTAAAAAAAAATATTTTGTTCACTAAACAAAATATGAATAAGGTTTTTCTAGACAAATAGTAATCATGCAATAAAAAAGTGCCAAACACCTCGATAATTCCATTGTACCGTGCTCACCTTGAGTGCATGTGGAATACCATGGTTTCGAATACCGGCTGGGTAAAACCAAAGGCTTTAAAATTGGTATTTAATGCTACTCCGCGAAGCACGCCACATTTAGAAGTAAGAACAATTACGTCCGGCTTGGAGTCAGAATGCTGTCTCCTTAGATACCGTATGGGCTAATGCGATAAAATGCCGACACATCGTGTCGGTCTACTACAAAGAAGGGTATATTCATAACTCATTTACAAGCTTTCGTACTGAGTATTCATGTACATTTTGCATTTTTTCGGATATCAATAAAAATGTGGTCAATTTCGAGCACTTGTAATCACATACTCAATAACGATTGAGGTCAGTCGTCAGATAACATCTTATTTCCAAAATAAGAAATACTAAACAAAAAATCAAAAATACGTCTTCAAAAACTCCATGCAGAGGCTTGATGTAGGAAAAGTTAATACAGAAAAAACAAGAGGAAGTTTCATACATTTTGCCGCTTTATTCATTATTCTCAAAAGTAGAATAAAAAGTCATTTATGCTTTATATCTAAACGAGAAGATGTATGCAAGTCATGCTAATGATGTGAATAGTTTTACAGGAACACAAACGTCTGTATATTCTAACATTTGTAACAAATATATAGCTATACTTTGTTTACCAACCACGTGTTTTTATTGTCTGCAACTCTTATATGGCGCATTTAACTCATATAAGTATTCGTGAATGAGATCTTAAGTACAATGCAGTTTATTTTTTGCATAATTTCTGATAACTTACAAAGTTGACAATACGTAATGGTTGTTTTTAAGCTCATTAATGAAAACCTCCTGTCAAGATTCAAGATGAAAAGCAATAGCAAAAGTGTGGTTTCTTCAGTTTTTTGCGATTTAAAATATTATTTCTATTATACTTTTTTCTTCGTCTCGAATATGCATTTGTTATGTCCAATAAACCAGTGATTGATTGCTTTAATATTATCTAAAATGAAAATAAGTATTAGTACCTTTGCACCTGAATTTCTAAGAACGCATTGAAAGGTTTAACTTCAGACAAATACAAAAGTGTACTGTAATCGCTTCAACATTGTTTATTGTAGATACGATAGTGTCTGGTCCCTTCTAGGGGCCATGCATTTACATTGCCGAATACAGAACAAATATGTGTTCATGTTCTGTGTTATAAATTATAGACCTGGTTACTTTAATGAGTTTGTACTTATATTCTCATGATATTGAATTTTTGACATTAACAACAAAAATTCAATTGCGTACAAAGGACCTCAGCAAGTCCTTAGAGGGACTCTCACACGCCAGAGCATTCTCGGGACTAGCTATACTCTAATCATCCTTGCTTTTCAAATCAAGATTTAGAACTTAAAACACCACCTTACCTACATTAATATTTTTTAATGTTTTCATGAAGGTGCGATTTGCGTAATCTTCAACGATGTTTTTATAAATCGGAGGAAGGAATACATTATTTAAATAAAACATTAAAACGTTTTATAGTGCTATTAATCAATTTACAAAAGACGATATACTTGACGGAGCACCGGAACTCGTGGGTACCAAATAAGTCTTACGCGTGCTTGAATAAATATTATTCGAGATTCATTTCATTTTGCCCTTAGAGGATAACGATATACCTTTTTGTATGTTTTAATCGATCTTACAGTTATTCATTGAATTTAATTAGTACTTGGTTAATAGTGAATGCGGTTTTCCCAATGAAAAAGAAGAAGAAAAACAAGCTATTGTGATCATTACTGGCACGACTGGCTTTAACTTTAAATTCTATTAATGATTCTGCATTCAAACATTATGAATTTAAAATTTAAAAAATATCTCAAAGTTTTAGAATACAATATTTCAAACTTCCGAAGGCTTATCAAAGTAAACAATGAGCGTGATATTTTGCCAGTATTTGCGAATTAATTAATGCTAAGAAAAAAGAAGGTTACATTAAAGCAGTTTACTCATTTGCGTGATAAAATTCAACATATGAATTCGCTGCCCACTAGATTGTTTTGCAGCCAACTAGCCATGATGTTGCTGTATATCTTGGCCATCAATTTGAGGAGTATTGGCATGTAGATCTGTTTCCTCGTGGGCTTTATTGATACATCGACGTATCAAATGTGATTATACAATGGTTTCTCCTTCCTTTAACTATTTCCTGATGCAACAAGACAAATTTGTGTCACGAGATGCTATTTTAATAACTAAGCGTGCATACGCCTATGTTGAGCAGGTTTTTTGTCATATTTGTGGGTTGAATTTATTTTCTAAACATATGGTATGGGTTATTGACCAATTTTTTGCACAGTTTTTAATCGTTGGCCTTTAGCAACAGACACGGAAGTACTTAGTATGCATATCTTTGTCGTAAGCTACAGTTTACACTAGGTATCCTCGTCGCTGTCCTCTTTATTACCATTATAATGTTGTGTTTTACTTGGCAGCAGTCGTGTTTCAGTGGTCGCTTACCTGCGAATCGTCATGTAGAATCGCTTTATGTGAAAATGGTGAGTTTATATCAAAGAATTATGCCCTCTTTTATTTTATACAGTGTCATAACGTTTGTTAAAGTATAGTAAACTGGCATTTACTCAAAAAATCTTTGAGCACGTACTGAAATGCAAGTATAATATACTCAGTTACCCATTCTAAATGCCATTCTAAATGGAGTTTGGTATTAATGCATATTAAATTTAAAATATGACCGAAAAAGACACAAAACAAGAAAAAAAATTGCATTAAGTGAACAGGGAGACTTGAGCTATTAATGATAGTGTTGGTATACCTATATTTGAAGAAGGAAAACAATGTTATATATTCAATCATATAGATAAAATAATTCCTTAACAGGTTAAATAATGTCTTTAATAGTACATTTGAATAACTCGGAACGATTATTTTTTATAAGATCTTATGTTAGTAAGTAAAACTCTTAACTTTGATTAATGGTCTATTAAACTTACCAGTAGGGCATATTTTATTTGAATGTGGACTGGCTTGTGCAGTTTAAGGCAATAAATGTGTTCTTGGTTTTTTGTTATCATTTTTGAATGGTCTATCATCAACCGAAAATCCCTTTATATATTTTCCAGAGCGTATTTATCAAGTTTGGAATGATAATGCCACTATAAAGTTTGGATTAAAGATCCATTTAAAGTTCAAATGACACACTTCTACCATATTCCTAGCACTAAATATTGTGACTACTTCAATGAATAAACTGAGCTAAACTTTAGGCGCGTTTCTTGTTTTGGTTTATTAAGCAGGCCACTGATTTTTTATATTATAAATTAATACACATTGATGTTCTGACAATGATAAACCGATAACTTTGGTATTTATTTTGACGAACAGTATTTATTTTTAAAAGACCTTTTAAGTAAATATGTACATTTTATACATAAATTTGCGAACTAAGTCTTAAGTAAATAAATGGTATGAGCAAGCAAAATGTTACACTGTAGTACATACTATTTCACTTTAAATCAGAACCTAATGCAATTTTCCTAAAAAAAAGCCTTGACTGTAGAACTTTAAAATGTTCGTGCAATCAAAGAAAAAGAGTCAGTCTTATGAAACTAACAAACAAATTAATTTTGCATCCACAAATGTATATTCCTTACAAACTTATTTATGAAATGATTAAGTAATTGCACATGTAACAATACGATTTTGGAAAGCCAATATCAAGTTAACATACCAAAATGAAACGCATCACAAATACGTGACGCGCGCATATAAATATTGTGTACAGAATTATACAGGAAATGTTTAACAATTATTATTACACTTTTTCGAAAAAAATGTTAATTAGTATCACTATGATTTTTTTTAGTCATTATTGTCCAAATTTTACGAAATTAAAGAAATAAATATAACTTAGTATAAAATGTTCCCTATTTATTCTTAGCTAGCAAGTGCACGTTTCAACAGATAGCACAAGTTCAACTATATATGTGATGTCACCTCTTGTTCTATTTGAGTTCTGCAATGGTGAGTTATTACTTCATATTTCATTTTATGAATTGCTAAATTTAAAGACGAAAACACTTTACCCTAACTTGTCTGACTTCAGAAACAACCCTTTATAACAATGCTCCAAGGAAAAGCTCCCATTTCACAAACGAACAAAAATTGCTAAATATTATTGAAAGTGTAATATAAGTATGATAATAAGATAATGACCTTCATTGAAATTTTAAAACGAAATGTAAATGAATTCATTGAATATTTAACCATAGTCCTAGTGTTCAGTCGTTTCTATCAAAAAGTAATGTTCTTTCCTTTAAAGTTGACACTGGACTATAAGCAAACTATGTTTGCCTTTATTTGCAAATCTACTTGTCTAAGTAGACATTTTTTTTAATTTCAACGTAATTACTAACATTTTATTAAGTAATAGTAAAGAAGAAGCGAAAGATACCAAAGGGACATTCAAACACATTCGTCGAAAAAAAAACTGACACCGCCATGACAAATGAAGAGCTGCGCCATTGAGCTCACGTCAATCGATATAAACAATTCACCAAAGTTTCATGCACATTGGTTTTATTGTCCGATATGTTGACGATAAACGGACAGACGGAAGGACAGACGGACGGACGGACAACGGTATACCATAATACGTCCCTTAAACGGGCGAATAAAAACCGAAAAAAAAACGATCCAGAGTCAAACAACACTATACAAAACACAGTACTGAGCAACACGAACCTC